GCACTTGTTACTAGTAGCGATGCACTTGTTTCTAATAGCTTCTTGTTCCTAACCCCAAAAGCGCCACTTCCTTCCACCTTCCGCTCTTGCACCCCCCCCCTCGCGGTCGGTCCAAGAACTCCGTCCTCGCGGAGCTGGGCGCCCCAGGCTTCGGGCCAAGGACCTGTCCTGAGAGCGACAGGGAGGGCACGTCCGTGCGGAGAAGGACGGTGACTGGGACTGGGATAGATCTTGGTCGTATGATGTCGTATAAATGGCTCAGCAATCCACTGAAGCTGGGTGGGCACTTTGAGTCTTTGTGGCAATTGGACTACAGATCACTAGGTCTTCAATGCCAATGGACCATGACTTTCCTCATTGATCCACCAACAAGAGCGAGTAAACACCTCCAGCTGTACACCCCAAGAATCACCTCCAAGAATCAGCTCCAACTGTTCCCCAAACCGCCACCGCGCCAGCCGCCGCCACGCGGGGCTCCGCGCCAGCTGCGCGCGCCAGGTGCCGCTGCACAAGCTCCAGCGGAGCAGCTGCGGCGCGTGGAGGTGATCGCTCAAGCGTTGCTCGGGGGCGGTGGTCGCCTCCAGCAGCTCCAAGATGTCTTCGCCACTCGGACTCACAGGTTGTTTTGTGGACATGGCGCAAAGTTCATGCGGTCAAAGGGCTGTTTGAATCGCATTCTTTTGGGGGGAAAGATTTGAGAATTGTTCGGTATGGACTCATGTAATTATGTTGGGTATGTTGAGCCTCTGAATCTTCTGAAGTCTAGTCTACAAGCTCAAAGAAACTTTGACGCAGTTTGGATCTTTTCCAAGCGGGCAGTTTTGACAGCGCACGGACATTTGAACTTTGAACTTTGTTCAGGGATGTTCAGGGCTTATTTAACGATTGGTTCCCATGAAGCGGCTGTGCCGGGCTGTGACTCCTTCTGGAGTCACTTGCAGATCTTTTCTCCTCAAAACGTGCTTCGATCATGACACCTAGGAAGGCTTGGAACATGTTCGGCCTTTCCGAAAGGACGCGATGTGGGGCACGGCGCCATGGGAGCGAATGTTCCTTTTCAAAACAAGTGCCACGCTACTAGGAACAGGTGCCTTACTAGTAGTAACAAGAAGCTACTAGAAACAAGTGCCTCGCTAGTAGTAACAAGTGCCTCGCTAGTAGTAACAAGTGCCTTACTAGTAGTAATAACCTGTTTGGTGTTGGGTGATGTGATTTGGTCCGATGTCCTCCGCGAACATACGGCCGTCGGTGAGCGTCCCCTCTGCCGCTCCGCAACCTTTAGGCGCTCTGTCGACATTGGGGTCATGGCTCCAAAAAAAGACATGCTAAAATACCTTCGCTTTCGGAACTAACGATGTTTAAATCTGGACCTTTTCAAGGATCTGGGTCGCTCGGAAAGAAGAACGTGTGTTGGATGTTTGATTTGGAATCTTTGTCGAACAGCCCAGATGTTGGCAGCCACGTGCCTTGGCGTGGAGACGTGTGCTGCTTTAGGCTTTGGCCCTGTGACGATTGGGACATTGGCCGAGTGTCTGGTTCCCACATCCGAACACACGGCCAAAGTCATTATGTGGCACGTTTCGGCGCGTTGCTGTGCCCAAAGACAGTCCAACCGGTGCCTATAAGGACTTATTTGCCAAACAAACTGTTCCAAGTTTTTCTGCATGCTCCTTTGTTCGTTCAGGTCGAAGCCTACGCGACTCGGTTGGGGGCGTGCGTCTACGTGCCGACTTCGTTCCAAAGCCCCGAGCAGTGGAGTTCTCTCTCCGGGACTGTCGGGACGTTGACCATGGAATCATATCTTGGCTTTGACCAACAAGGCACGGCTCTCCTGGATGAATTTGAATTGGCGG